GTGCGGCTGGGGGGCGAGGCGCGTTATGGCGTGAGGAGGCCGCACCTAACGGGGGTTGGATTATGGGGAGAGGACCAGGACTGAGCCATGGGGAGGAGGCCCAGAGGCTGAGTCAGGGTGTAGAGGATGGGGAAGAGGGAGGGCTGTGGGGTCTCCGGCCGTGGGTTGGAGCTGTGGGTCTGGGTAAAGGGGAAAAGGCACGTGGAGGTGGGCTCGGGCAGGTAGGGGTCTAAGGGATGGGGCTGGGTGTGCTGAGGAGGGTGTCAGGGCAATGCTGAAGGCAGGTGCTCTGTGGGGAGGAGGGGAGAGGTGCTCTCAAATTTCCCACCTGACTGGGCTGGCAGGGGTGTACATCGGGGTTACTTTGTATTATCTTGCTTTACAGTACAGGGAGAGAGAGAGGAAACTTTGTGAGTTTTTCAGCTAAGTTGCTAATAAATGGGTGTTGCTAATAAATAGGTGTTGGTATTACATGAGGTCTTATTCTCATTCCTCTAACTTAAGTTTTTTAGAGTTTGGTTTAGAGAAGTCTTGAGCATCTGGGACCCTTTCTAATGCTCGGTGCTTCTGGAAATCTGATGCATTTTTTTTTTTTTCAGGATAAATTGCTTTAATACAAGTTGATACTTGTACTTTCGTTGATACTTCCAATGAAAAAATGCAATAGCAGGATAAATGTTACTTTAAAATTCTTCCAGTTATCCTCACAACCTGATATTCTCTAATTTATTTGGTTTTAAATGTTATGGTGGAGTTAATCTAATCAAATTGATCAGAAAACAGTGGAAGAGTCTTCACTGGCCTTCTGCCATATGGTTCATTACAGAAAAAAGTGTAGGCTTTCATTCGGTAAATCAGGGATTCATTTACGAAAATAGCTATGGGTCCTCCTGATTTAATTGATATTACTTATATTAACTCAATAAGTACATGAGTTTCTGCAAGGTTAGTACTCTGTTGCTAATAGGAAAGCGTCTACTATCTCATTTAGACCGTATCTAGCTGGCATTCACAACTGCAGTAAAAACAGCAGGCTTGAGTTTGGTGCTTAGTGGGGTTATTTTTAAAGCAAAAGTGATTTTAAATAACTGAAAAATAACATTGCTATTGGAAACGTAGAGAGCATTTTCTGTATAATGTGGCTGTTTTTCTTCGCAGTCGCTTGATGGCTTTAAAAAGAATGGGAATTGTCAAAGACTATGAGGTAGGATTCTATCTGCATTAAAACAGCCTTGCATTTTTTCCCCTGTGAGACTACTTTTGATATACTGATCTGTATTTTATTTCTTTCTACAGAAAATCCGTACCTTTACAGTTGCAGTAGTAGGTGTAGGTGGAGTTGGCAGTGTGACTGCTGAAATGTTGACAAGGTGTGGCATTGGTAAGGTAATGAGAGTTTTCTTCTTCTACTTCTTTATAGTAGATGGACCAGTCTTCTTCATAAAGAGTTAGATTCTATTTCATTCAGTTGATTTTGCCCAAATAAAAAAGTACTATGAAGAAAGCGCTCAAGAACAGCACTTGCATAAACATCACAAAGTCAGTATTTTTCTTACGCTAGTAAAATTGATTTACTTAGGGCTTAATCCTGTATCGTGTGGATGATTCTTGTTTGGATGCTTGTCTTTTCTGTGCTCTTATATGAGCCCATCTATCTAACCTTCATACTGGATTATTGCAAAAGGAAAACAAAATAAAGAAAAAGGAGAGGTAATTCGCATAGAAGATTAAGTCTTATGAGAACGTTGATATTCATGAAATTGAAATGCGGTAGATGTCAAACAGATATTTTTATCACAAACATAAGTTTGTCATGTGGCAGACTTGGAGCTAAAAATCTAGCTGCAGTTAAAAATAATTTGATGTGTGTATAGATAACAAGAACCTCCAGGGTTAATAGAACAGGGTTTTTCTTTAAAGGAAGAATTTGGGGAAGGCTTAGATGTTTGTATTTTCAGGCAAAGCCTGACCATTTCCTCTTGGAACTTTAAGAAGTTTCTTAATACAGAGGTGATGCAACTTTTTACTGCAAAGTTTATTCCCCCTTCCTGAAGACCACCATCTTGGACATAGAAAAGGACATTGGACAGTTGATTCAGAATTTATAATAATCAACATGTCCATGTATTATGTAGGTATTTTAAGTGAATTTTTTTTTAAGAACTACATGCCAAGACAAGTGAAAGAAATTGTACATTTCTGGTTAATGCTGTAACAGCAAGTAGGAATGTGGTAACAGAGTCGATAGTGTTCATGTAGATAGTCTGTTGAATATTCTTAGTTTAGATCAAATTAACAGATTGCTTTTTATTAAAGTGGTTTTCATGAGTTAATGAATCAGTTCCTGGTGAATGGCAGTTAGAATTCAGTCTTTCACATGCTTACAATGTTGGTAACTTTTGTATGTGAACTGAATGGGACTGCGGGGATAGGGGGGTGTTTGGTTGGGGGTTTTTGTTGTTGCTTTTAGAATGAGTTTTGTTGTTTAAAATGCTTTTGGAGATTCACATATGTTAATACAATCTTTATTATAGCTGCTTCTGTTTGATTATGACAAAGTGGAATTGGCAAACATGAACAGACTCTTCTTCCAACCTCATCAAGCTGGATTAAGTAAAGTGCAAGCAGCAGAGCATACTTTGAGGTATAACTTAGAGAAGTGGTTATCAAAATGTATTTACCCAGGACGGTGCTCCAGAAAATCAATGTTTCATTCTTAATCATGTGCGAAGTAGCATGATCTAATTTGGAAATTTGAGTATAAAATAGTTGTGGGAATGATTGATACTTGAAGGACATTTTTGTACTGACCAAAACCTTAATGTAAGTCTACTTTTTAAGTATAGCTAACTTTGCTCAGAAGTTTAGTATAAACTATACCACTTCGATATCTTGTGATTTTTTTTTTTTCCCTCATCTGATCTGTGAATTTTTGACAAATATGGGTATATTCTAGACTTCAGACTGGAAGCTTAAGACTGTAGCAGCGCTTGTGAAGTTAGGGAGTAGAATGCAAATTATCATTGTATTTATTAACATTGACTCATATTATTTCCTCCAAAAGGAATATTAATCCTGATGTTCAATTTGAAGTACACAACTACAACATCACAACAATGGACAACTTTGAACACTTCATGGATAGAATAAGGTAAAATCTCTCACCTTCTGCTGTGTGTATCTCTAAATATAGCCTCACATTTTTATTGTTGGGTTTTTTTCCATTTAATGACTTCTGATTGAAAATCAGTGGGAAATAGTACATATGAAGACATTTCTGCCTCTACCTTTTCTCTAGAGTTGGCATTTATCTCTGCTGTTACATAGTTATATTTTATATTGGTGCATCTTTATATTTCCAACCAAAACCGCAGGTATTTTCCCGTTATAGAAAATGCTTTTCCCATTATAGAAAATAGATCAGATCATATTTTGACTGCTCTGGAGTAGTTTCAGGTATGCTTTATAGAATGAAGAAAGAAAATAGTTACTAGCAAATCTCACAGAGAAGTTCTGAAGTAACTTTTCCCATTTGCAGTTATGTTGTACAATGATACAATTCTCCAATACTTTGTACTGTGAGTGTATACTATATAAAACTTCTTTTAATCTAAAATGCCCATATATTTAAATCCCAGTTTCAGCATGCTGTTGTTTCTACTGTAGATCTAAGATGCTAGTTGTATGCTGTTCTGCATTTGCACAAGTTTTGTTAGAAATATGCTTCCCACGTGCTTCTGTACTCTAAAGCAACATGTTGATTGCCATGTTGGTATTTTGCTCTGCCAGCACTTTCATGCAAAATTCTGATACTTATTTCAGTAACGGTGCACTAGAGGAGGGGGAGCCTGTCGATCTTGTTCTAAGCTGCGTGGACAACTTTGAAGCTCGCATGGCAATTAACACGGTGAGGCTATGGAAGGCCTGAGCTTGTAGAAGTGTATTTTCTCCTATAAATAATGTTAGGAATTGTGGGGACTAGAAAAAGACAGGAACTTATCGAGAATCTTCTAAGAAATTTTCTCCTTGGTTTAAGGAAACAGAATCTGAACTTTTACCTGGTTCTTACAAAACACATTTTATTTGTATAAATATAACTGTAGACTTTTAAGTTACTAGCAGCTAATGGTTAGTAAAAGAGTTAAGTGTCATAAGCCCTCTCTGTCTTTCCAAATTATCCTGTTTATATAAAGGTACTATCAAAGCCTGGTATGTTAAATCTTACAAACTTTTTGAAGGCTGTGTATAGCTAATTGTATACTTCATATGACTTTTTGTATACTAAAAACGTCTTAAGGCTGTGTACCTAATCAAACTGTTTTTCTTTATAGTAGCAGCCAATGTAGGGTATACGCCAAATGCATGTTTTCTGTTATCCTTCAGCTAACTTGATCTATAAATTGCATGCACTGAAGGAACACAGATACACTGTATACATGCCTCTAAAAGCAGTTTGGGCAATTAGATTCTGTAGTGTGCTGGTAACTGAATCGCTAATGCCTGTATTTGTTCAAAAATCTCAGGTCCTCAGGAAAGCACAAAGGGCTGGCTTCATGAGGACAACTTTAATTTGTCCTTTGATTTGTCCTTTGTCTCTGATAAACAATTTCTATTCTACCTTTTCATGTTCCTTTTTCTGATCATAGCCTTCTTGTCTTAAAGCAGGAAGATCAATGTGTTTGATCACTCTCAACTTGCAATGTGTGTTGTGGGTTTTTTTTCTTTTCATTAAACTTCTGCAGTGCTGATATGTGTGTTTCTGTTTATAAGGCCTGCAATGAACTTGGACAAATCTGGATGGAATCTGGAGTGAGTGAAAATGCAGTGTCGGGACATATACAGCTAATCATACCTGGTGAATCTGCTTGTTTTGCGGTATGCAGTGCTCTGCTGAATTGCTCATTTGTCTTTTAAAGCGGGACTGGGAATATGGAGATTAGCTGGCTAGTGAATATGATCCTGGCACAGCTGATGGAGTCGCTTAAAATTTTGTCTGATCTGTGGGGTTTTTTTAATACTTTTTTTAAACTTAATTTCTTTATTTCCCTTCAGTGTGCTCCTCCACTTGTAGTTGCTGCAAATATTGATGAGAAAACATTAAAACGAGAAGGAGTTTGTGCAGCTAGTCTTCCTACAACTATGGGTGTCGTGGCAGGAATTCTTGTACAAAATGTTCTAAAGTAAGTGACTGAGTTGTTGCTATTCAATGTACAGCACGATAAGAGAAAGAAACCTGAAGGAACACTTTATAATGATGGGTCTGGTTCTTTTTATATGTTTGTGGCCTATTTCCTAAAGGTATTGGCATCATTGGACAGGGCTGAAATATACACTGCTTGAATCACTGGTGTGTTTACTTTGGAGCTGCTGTTTTTAATAGAACTTTTCAGGGGTAAGAAAAAGTCTTCAGAGCTTTTTTAAGAATCTCTCTTACTGCATACACACACGCACATTTTTTTTCTTAGTTCTGCATTTAAACATGCTCCCATTTGACATCATTAAATTATACACAAAAAATGGTACCGTGCTGACTTGTCTTTGAAATTTTGTACGTGGACAAAGAATAAATAATTTCTCTTGCAGTATTTGTATTCTAAAAACCTGAGGTGAAATAAAAATAGTTACATAGCAATACGACATATTTTAATATTTTCAGAAAGTACTGTCACATGACTTCAACTGCTAAAAGAACTGCATGTATCAGCAAGGAAAGTATTTGAACAACTTTGTATTCAGTTTCAAAATGATGCACCATGTTTTACAAGCATCTGTGAGAATAGGATCTTATTTAACCTGTTTTTAGCCTTTGCTTGGTTTTGTCAGTTATCCAAAAATTTCTAATTACAGAGAATAAAAGTACTGTTTGGAAGTGTGCCTACAAACAACAAAGATCCATTTTCAGCTGTGCAGAGACAGGTATTATATAAAATTGCATAGCAACATGTGTTTTTCTTTAATGAAGAATGCAAACATTGCAGCTTAATTTAAATCTGTATTTTCATTGCAAATCTGACCATACAGTAAAGATGATTATACTGGTTCTGATTAGCTGTTGAAAACTCTCCCATTGTAATACAGGGCACCTGAGTGTTTCAAGCAATGGATTAAGGCACAAGAGAAAAGTGCTTACACAGTACTCTAAACATTGTTTTTCTGAGACTGTAGCTGACTTGTTCTCACACACACACCCACACCACAAGAGGACCGGGTTCTATGTTGATGAGTTATGCTGTTGTCAGGTGACTACAGCTTATTTTAGTATAATTACAGTAACTCTTTATAACTTTACTAGTGTGAAAGTGTATTTTAAAAGTTCTTTGAGGAAAAATTATTCCTTGAGCAACTGAATTTTTAGGTTTGCACCTGTATATAAGGGCCTGCTTTCTCTGTTTGTGTTTCTAGATACCTGTTAAATTTTGGTACTGTGAGTTATTATCTTGGTTACAATGCAATGCAGGATTTCTTTCCAACTGTGTCTATGAAGCCAAACCCACAATGTAGTGACAAAAATTGCAGAAAACAGCAGGAAAATTATAAGGTAAAAATGTTTTGGTTTTCTTTTTTTTTTTTCCTTTCTTAAAGTCTTAAGAACAAAGCAAGCTACAGATCTGTAGTAAAAGAAGACTTTCATTGCTACTGCAATTTTCAGCAGCCTTGTCTTCAGATGGTTGCATGTGTGTCTAAAAATACAATACTTAGAGTTATCTTAATGCAAAGGGTAGGCAGAATGGCTTGCATTCAGTTAGATAATATTTTCTTCTACAGTAGTTGTTCAACCTTTCTGGCAGCCGTATATTTTTGAGTATTAATGAGATTGTTTTTTTTAACATGCAGGTGTATTCTGCCTTTTTATGCCTAACAAAGGTCTAAATGCTGACTGCGTATCTTTAAATATTAAAAGAAGTGTGAATATTAGATGTGATCTTCTTTGCTGTTGTTGAAAATTGGACTATTGCATGTATTATGGTTTTTGTCTTTTTGTGTTTTTCCTTCAGAAAAAAGAAGCTGCACAACCAAAACTAGAAGTAATTGAACAGGAAGAAGAGATAATACATGAAGACAATGACTGGGGTAAGTAATCAACTGGAGACTAAATGATGTTCCCAGTACCGAGGTTCAATTAAAGTCTTTGTTTTTGTGAACACAGGGTACATAGATTCTTTATGGTTCCTATTTTTTGTAGCTTATACTGCGTAATTACTGCTGGCTTTTCACAGCTTTTGACAGTAATGTTACCACAACTTGATGTATTTTTAGTGTAATGTGCAGGTTTTAGGCTCAAAATGTAACCACCGTTTGAATAAAAAACTTTCTCAGAAGATGGTCTGAGGATATGAAAGATGTGAGAAGATGTATTCACTGTGTGTTCCTTTTAAATATGTAACTAAAGAGCATTTATCATTTCCGTAACCACTGTGCTGAAGTATCCCATGGATTTTTATATTCCTCTGAGGGCTTTAAATTGGAAGGAATTGTGTTAAGGAATGGTAAGCGTGTTTTATATAACCATTTCAAGAATAGATATATACATTCTGTTTATTACATGATATAGAAAATAATCTTAGCTTACCATTGGGAGAAGTGTCCTCACAGTAAGATTTAAATGGTAAGAACAAGGAAGTCCTATAGGAGAGGTGCCATTCTTGTCCATAAGTTACCTTGTCCATAAGTACCATAAGAACCATTTCACGTATTGTAAAGGGAAAATATTTTGTATTGATAATGGAATGAAGTAGTTGAAATCAAAGGTCTTTCTGCTTTTAAATTTTTTCTATTTCTAGAGAAGTAGTTGCTGTTTTCCTCTTACTGTGATAACACAATGATTAAAGAACTTTTTCTTCTAACTTTTAATGGAGTTCTCAATTCCTTTCAATGCAAAGGCATCGAATTGGTATCAGAAATTTCAGAAGACGAGCTGAAGGCTGCATCTGGCCCAGTACCTGAGCTTCCTGAGGGAATTACTGTAGCATATACTATCCCAAACAAGGTAATATATTTATTCTTAATGAATTTTTAAAATACATGTTGTAGATTAAATTTATAATACCAGCCGGTTTGGTTACTCTTTAAACATAAAATAAAATTCCATCTCGAACAATTCCAGTGAAACTGTACCTCAGTGCCTTCTACAGTTTTGTGTTTCTATGAAATAGATTTCTTTAAGTATGGATTCTAGCGTGAATGTAGTTTTGAGACGATAGGAATGAATGTATTTGGGGGGTGGTGGAAAGAAAACAAATGTGAATTTCTCAGTTTATGTTTTGCTGACTAATTAATTTTTACCATATTTATCTTGTAAAAGCTGTATGTAGTCAAAGAGCAATTAGTGTACCTGGGGAACACAGAATCTGTATGTATTGCAGCCAGAACATTCTAACTCCTAGTCAGAATAGTTTACAATTTAAGCTTATAATCACTTAGGCCTAATCTTGCAATTGAGTGCTTGGTTCTAGGAAAATGGTGTGGTATAATGGCAATAAGGCATATTTGTGTGGGGTTTTTTGTTTGCTGTTTTTGTTGCCAACTTTTTCTTCCTGTTCCTAATAGGAAGAGAATTTGATAACTGAGGAAACCATAGCAGAGTCTGAAGAAAGCCTAGAAGAACTCATGGCCAAAATGAGAAACATGTAGCAAAACAAATATTAAGTACAACTTTTGGGAGTTTGGATTGACATTGGATTTTGAGAAGACCAGACTTTTTTTTTCTTTTTTTTTTTTTTTTTTAACCTCCACTGAAGCTTGTCTTTACATTTCTAATGAAGTGGAAGTGTTACAGGGGCAGGAAGGAAACAGACTTACTTTGTTTATATTCTGTTGTCTATTCACACCTTTAAGATGGGAAGTTGTGCTACTGTAAATTTTAATTTCTCAGCATTGCTAGTGTCCAGATATTCAGAAGAAAATAAAAGGAGATAGATAAACTAACAAAAGCAGGCATAGTGTGTTATATGCGATATCACGTGATGAGAACAGTACATAGTATACGAAAAGTGAAAGATGCAGCCTGCTGGAGTGCATTGAATAGGCCAAGGGCAGAAGATCGTGCCTCACTCATACTGCTGCTCCTGATTTTCCAGGCACTTCTAGCGTTGTTGTTCACTGGTTTCTCTAAATTCTTGGCATGGATCGTGCTGTGGCTACTTTTTCTGAGTAAACGGAACATTTCAGCCTTTTCATAGAATCATAGAATCATTAA